TCTGGAGCGCCAGAGCAGGCCGCATGGGCCCAAGCTTCAGCTATCCCTTTGCTCTTCAGCTATCCCTTTGCTCTTCAGCTATCCCTTTGCTCTTCAGCTATCCCTTTGCTCTTCAGCTATCCCTTTGCTCTTCAGCTATCCCTTTGCTCTGGTGGCAAACTTCAGCCTGGCTACAAGTGGGGCAAGCAGGTGCCGTGCTCTGTTGGCCGGAGTCAACAGCAGGGTTGCAATACGATTGGGGCGACCCCATTGCCCTGCAGTGCTGCGAGGTCCAGGCTCCATGAAGTGTGGTGTGGTCAGTTAGTGCTCACAGGGCGGTGTCGAGCAGCGCACCCAGACCTCCTGAGCTCGGATCGTCTGCTGGAAGTCGGGAAGACGGTTCACCAGCTGCAGCCCCGCCAGCGAGTCGGTGGGCACTGTGACGTAGATTTGCGAGGGGTCTAGATTCCCGCTTCCCCGCCCCACACACAGCATCTTCAGCCACGAGTGTGGCACAGTGGCGCAGGCAGGGGGCACATGGGGCACATCCTGTCCCCTATTTTCCCAGGACTCTCCAGGCACCTCCGGACCTACGATTAAATACCCGATTTGAGTGTCCCAAGGGCCCGAAAGGTTGACCAGAGTTTGTATTCAGGAGGCCGGCCCGCAGCGCCCGGTACTCAAATGGCGGTGTTCGGGGAGGCCCGACTAGCCTGGAGGGCTCACCGAGACCTACGATTAAGGGCACGATTTGAGGCTCTAAGGGCATGAACGGTTGGTCGCAGTCATATTCAGGCGCCCAGCCTGCGGGGACGGGCCCTCAGATAACAGTCGGACGGACCTTTGCGCCGATCACGAGCCCCCGAGTCGAAGTGGACCTATATACCGGTCAGGCACCACCAGTACTGCGCAGTCGGCTCCGTAGCACAATGCGCTTAAGGGACTACTTCCCGTTCAGCAACAAATCTGGGACCAGTGCTTTACACTGGTCGAGACATCTGCATCTCTCAAGGGCCCACAGAACCTGATAGAGGGTTCGGCGCTCGCAAGAGGTCCCGAGCCGACCTAGAGCAGTGTTTGGTGAGGCCCGAAGAGGTGCCCGGGCGGCCCACCGGAATCTACGATCAAATGGAGGGCAAAGGGGCCCGAAGGACTGGCTGTATGTCTTATAAAGAACCGCAGCCCGGGGGTTCGTAACCTGAAATATCAGTCAGAGGTCATCTTGCACCGTTTGAGAACCCCATGAAACAACGTGGGTGTCTAAGGCCGCCAGAGACCACGAACGCCGACCAGTTGGTTCCCTGTCGGTCTGAATCCTGGGGCCCATTTTCCAAGCAGGAGCAAGTTCAGAGCCACGATTTGCATTTTTCTAGGTACCTGAAACGTTGATTGGGCCCCTGTATCGGTCAGGGGCCCATAGTGCCTAACAGGCGGTCATGTGCCGGCTAATGGCCCCTAATTGGTCACGAGCTTTGCTTGAGGAGGTCCGAAGAGTGGCAGAAGGGCCACTCGGGGCCGAAGATCAAGAGACCGATTGGACTGCGGCCCGGCTCCCGCCCGTAGTGCCGTGACATGAAATGTCAGTCAGAGGACCTTCTTAGAGCCTTATAGCAGGGTTGTCTGTCCATATTATTCAGGGCCTCGAAATGGAGCCCAACGGTCGGCTCCATATTCGTCTCAGCCCTTGAGACCCATTTCCCAACAAAGAGCGATGCCGAGGCCAAGGCCAGCGGTTTGCAGCAGCAATTGCAGTTGCAGTTGCAGTTGTTTAGGTCCCTGAAACAACGTGGGTCTCCTGTGTTGGTCAGGAGTCACAGTACGTAACAGGGGTCCTGCATCGGCAAATGGCCCCGAGTCGGCCAGGGGCAGTGTCTGAGGGTGCCCGAAGAGGGGCCGAAAAGTCTTTGGAGACCAAAGATCAAGGGCCAGATCGGGAGGTTTCAGGGTCCGAAGGGCTGGCTGTAGGTCGCATCAAGGACCAGCACTAGTAGAGCCGTAATCTTAACCGTCAGTTAGAGGGCCTATTGCACCGCTTGGGAACCCCCGAGACAGAGCGCTCCTCTATTTCGGTCAGGGATCACCAAACAGCAAACAACGAACAGTCGGCTCTGTGTCGGTCTGAGCTCTGAGGGTCCCATTTCCCAAGCAGAGGCAAGACTGTGCTAGTAATACACATTGATCGGGCCCCCTGTAACAATGTGGGGCCCCTGTTTCGGTCAGGAGCCAACAATTCCTAACAGGGTATTTTACGTCAACAAGGGGCCTCGAGCTCGTCGTCAGGGGAACATTTGCTCAACGGGGGAGGGGACGGGACCCCGAATGACTAGGGCCTCTTGCGTTGGTTGGGCCCTCTGGCAATGAAAGAGAGCATGAAAAACTCATGAATGTTCACATTGAGGCAATGGAAGTGTCTTGTGCCAGTTCGGACCCCAGCACCAAACGTTGGGCCCTCCAACCCAATTACAGCACGCGCCCGTTAAGCCGAACTGAAGTCTACGCGCCAATTATTGGACCATATGAGGCGATCAGGGATGTTGTTGCGTCAATTTGGGCTCCTGTGTCGATTAGGGCCAAACTGCGCGGATCAGAAGGCCTCCCGTGCCAGGGGAGGAGCCAATGTGATACGACGTATCCATCTTAGGGCCTCCGTATCGGCCAGAGGACCAGCCCTGTATTGCCCGAATGACAGCCGGAAGACACCCCGCGTTGGAACGGAATGACCCTTCAGCCCTCCACTGGGAACAATGATGCGCCCCATATTGTTCTCCTTAAGAGGGCTCCTCTCCCGGAAAGAACTATGGGATCTCATTAGTGCTGAATACGTGAGTCGAAATGAGGTAAAAAAGAACAAGGCCATCCCATGTTTGTCCGAGAAGATGCATTCCTTTGTAGAATCGAAAAGTGAGGCAAATTTTATTAAAAGGTTTGAGCCGGCGCGCCCGCAGCAAGAACAGCGACGGCCTGGGTTGCAGTTTCTGTAACACCGAACGGCGTTGGCCGCTGCAAGTAACACCAGGCGGCAGGCGCCGTGTGCGCTAGAACGACCGTCGTAAAGTAATGGTTCTAAGTGCATTTTTCCAACTTATTAGTACCGTTCAAACATGAGGGTGGGCGCATATTGTTTTGACAACTTTGAGACTGCTCCCTGGACAGATCAACAATGACAGTAACACGAAAAAAATAGTTCTACCTATACTCTTCCATTTCCACAAGATTCCAGCACCACTTCGCGGTGCTCAAAGACCATATCTGTCTGTTATCTGTTATCACAATACTGATTCTGTTATCAGTGTACCATATGTGATTCTGTTATCACAATACAAAATGGTGCAGGCGAAATATACGCTCGGACTTCCTTCTAAATGTGTGATTATATGACCTAAGGCTTTCAAAGATGCTTCTTTCCGATGCGCCATCGTTCCCGTCCACCCGTTGACCACAATCTAGTGTTAGCTGCGGCGCCGACGCTATGGAGCCGACGGAGACTACAACGCCTAGCGTCTAGGTTTCTGCTGTTAAGGTTTGCGACCGCGCATGCTCAAAACCACGCTGCATCATATGCGTCTCTAATCGATTCCGACTGAAAATTGAACATTTCTGGACAAACATAGATTGGTCATGTCAATACAAATGGTTCATCCATTTCGATCTACAGTTTACAATCGCAAGGCCCGTAATATTTTTGTACAACCCAGCTAGAAATTCTAACAAAGATTCTGAGTGCTATTGGCATAGAAGACCGCTAGACTATTGCTAAATGAAGAGCGCTGGGGATGTACTTCATGGAGTTGCTCAACGCGTTTTCTTCGCGTGATTGGCTATGAAATTCGGGCAGTAGTCATCTCGCGGTAGCTTCTTGCTTCTGTTCCAGTTAAATAAAAGTAAAAATACTGGAGAAATACATGCCCTTGTTAACAAAGAGGCCACATCCGACGATTTTGTTTAAGGGGGAAAGAGGGGGGGGGGGGCTTTTACTATTGAGGGTCCCATCGTTAACCCTGTGCCACGTTGCTAAGGCTCTGGTTGCGCGCATGGTGTCGCGCTTCATGTAAGTGACGTTGCATTTGAGTAATAAGCTGAATTATTTTCCTATTCAATGGCGCCATTATATCCACACAGCGCGTGGCTGCCTGATAACATTATATAAACAGAAACACAATTGACGAGACAAATAAGTCGGGATAAACATTCTATCTTGACGAACTCAGCTCAGTTATGCCCGTGGAACTACAATAATGATGCTGTTGCTGGGTATAGAGCCACTGCGACAAAACCTGAACCCACCAATATCACCAGGCGAGAAGTGAGTGAAAAACATTCGCAGTATATTAGCACTGCATGTCTAAATCAGCCTGAAATACCTTCATACCGACATCCAAAAATCTGCCAAGATTCGAGATAAAATCTGCCAAGATTCGGAGTCTGAACCGCGACAGGTACTGGTCTGCTGACGGGTGCTGATAATCCTGACGAATGCAAAAATCTCAGATTTCTTCGCAGTACAAAACTACATGGGACATGAAAAACATCAAACTTCTTTGGGGTAGAACAGCTTATAACGTCCTTTGTTTACTTGCTGCGATCGACATTAAGCCATGGACGAGTCCCCAAATAACGAGAATCACGTAACTTAACAGTTCATCTTAACATTTGCTTAACCACGGAAAGCTGTGTTTGCCTGTGATTTTCGTGGTTTTTGGGAGGTTAGGCCAATTCAGCAATGTTGCGAAAGTTCACTTCATCACTTACGCCTGCTGGCTCAGCCGCGCCCACCAGCACCGTAAACAGAGGGTTAAACACCACCGCCACACGATGGCATGCGCTCACAGGTCCCCCCCCCCCCCCCTCGCCGGCAAGGAGCCGGGCGCGTGCAGGGCAGCTGTGCCCGGCGGCCGGCCTGCTGGCGCGTCGGCCGGCTCGGTCTGATGGCCGGTCACTCCAGCCGGCCACCTCCCACGGTCGCCAGCGGTCGGACGATCATGGCGCCTCCGCCGCAGGGATGACCCGGCACACGCAACCACCACGTGAAGATCTGTATTAATATCCAACCAACTGAAGCCTCTCCCGGTTGAACGCAAAGTAACGGAGGCCGAACAAGCGGCCCGCGGCGGCACCCGGGCGCTGGCCGCGCCTGGGCCACAGACGGAGCCGGGGCAGCGCCCCCTCCCCACTGACACTGAAAGCTCGCAGGTGGCGGCGGGCCGCGGCACGGCCGGTCCGTCCCGGCCGAGCCGTCCCCGCCCGCCCCAAACGCCGGCGAGCCCGCTTCTCGCGCCGAGCGGTCCGCGGTTCCGCGCGCGAACGCGACGCACGGCAGCGGCCGTGCAGTCTCCGGAGTCACCGCAGTCGCGGTGTCACGACGTCCTGGCGCGGACGTGCTGGGCGGAGCTATGAGCGCCGTTGGCGGCGCGGTGCCGGCGATTCTGCATCCCGTCAGGCCCCGCCAACTCCACGTCCCGTCAGGCAGGGCGGTCCCGGCGACTCCACTCCCGTCAGGCGGGGCGGTCCCAGCGACTCCACGTCCCGTCAGGCGGGGCGGTCCCGGCGACTCCACGTCCCGTCAGACGGGGCGATCCCGTCGACTCCATGTCCCGCCACGCGGGGCTGTCCCTGATGCCGCGCCGCTCGAGCGGCGGTGCCCGTCTCACTGCGCCACACTCCGCCGGCATTCACATAAAACGCGAACAAAGCTGCGGCGACTGGCGATTTCGGCCGGCGTCAGCGCGCCTGGCGCGGCGGTCGGCGGGCGCGCCTCCACTCGTGTTCGGATTTGACCGGCCGGCCGGTGCGCCGGCGGACACGCGGACTGATTTATCACTGGCTCGGTGCCGGCGACGGCGGCTAGCGCGCGTGGGCCGAGACGCGTTGCGGCACGCCGTTCAGCAGGCGCTGTTTCAGCACGTCGTTCTCGTACGTCTCGACCGTTTCTCGGCCGTTGTCGTACACCCTGCGGAAGGCGGCCGGGTGTTACACACTGCGAGTCGGGCATCGGCGGCGCGCGAGCGGCGTGCGAGGAGTGAGGGCGTCTTCCGTACCACGCACGTCGACGTGGAGCGGCAGGGCCACGTCAGGGCTTAAGCAAAGAGCGAGCGGCGCCACGTGAGGTCAACATCACAGCGTCGATAGCGTTGGCGTTTAATTAATTGATATCAGGATAGCCTGACGTAAAGAGGGGAAAGGCGGGAGGCTCGGATACATACAATCATACTGTGTGCAGCAAACGCCCGGAGAAGGGCCGCTGATCCTACGCCAGTGATCGCTGAGCTCATTGAAGGTCGCGAATTCGACCGGTTGGCCTGGTGTGTTTCATGTACCTGGGCAACACACAACTTAGCTCGCCGACAGCCCAGCTAATCCACACCCACAAAATAGCCAAACTTTCCGTTTTGAGAATGAGTCGACGACGCCTAACACGGCATTTCAGGAACGCTAATGTAATTGCATAAAGTTAGCACCGCTAGCTTGTTATCCGCCAGAAGCAACGCAGACCCCATCTCAATCCAACAAACCGTGGAGTAATTTAATAATGCTTCCGAGACTCGTTCCGTGCCAGGCTCTTCCGGCCTTCCAGCGTTTGTCGCGCACAGAAACGCCTGGGGAAGGCTCGCCGGCTCCCTTAAAATAAACGCTAAAAACTGCTCTCAGCCAGATTAGGCTAAACAGATGACTGACATCCAAAAACACTCAAAGGCCGTGAAGCGCTTCCGGCGAAACGTGGCGCAAATAACGCCCGCGGGAGCGGCGGCCCAAGTCATCATGCTAGATGCACAGCTATCAGCTCAATCTATGTCCATAAACGGCACGCCCATTTGACATGACCTTGTGACTCCGGGTGGCACCAGTGGCCGGCAACTCACGACACCCTGCCCAGCCCGCCCGTCGCTCACCGTCGCGTGGTGATCTTCTTGCCGTTGACGTATTTGGTGCTGGTGGAGGTTCGCTTCATGGCCGCGCCGCCGGGGCCCATGTGCGTGCTGAAGCTGTCGGCGGTCACGAAGCCGCCGCCCGGCCCCATGCCGTCCATCATGGCGTCGATGGCGGCGAACGACGACATCATGCCGAGCCCGCCCAGACCGAACGGCGAGAAGAGCGCCGGCGACATCAGCTGGGAGGCGGGCGCGCCGGCCGACGGCGGGTGGCGCGAGCCGCGGCTGCGGCCCGGCCGGGCTCGGCGCGGCACGCCGCCGCTCAGCGGGTCCAGCATGCCTGGCGAGAAGAAGTCTGTGGGAGGGCGCCGCGCACGAGCGGGGTCAAGGCGAATGGCGACGGAAGCGGCGGCCGACGCCCAGGCGTTAGACGGGCCGACGCCCAGGCGTTAAACGGGCCGACGCCCAGGCGTTAGACGGGCCGACGCCCGGGCGTTAAACGGGCCGACGCCCAGGCGCTAAACGGGCCGACGCCCGGGCGTTAAATGGGCCGATGCCCAGGCGTTAGACGGGCCGACGCCCAGGCGTTAAACACCCAGGCGTTAGGCAGGCAGCCGAGTCAGCTAATGCGCAGAGAACAACTACGCGAACATGGCGCGAAAAGAGCGGCGAATTAAGCGTGCGGCGCAGTCCTGCTAACAACGACCGAAACATGGCGTGAAGCAGGTGGCAACATTTGACAAACGTGGTGTTACAGCAATCCGGAAGCGTGTCACGATGGGAGCGTGCAGGCGCGAGCTGACAAGCGTGATAGCAAAGACCATTGTGGTCACGGACCCGGACACAGCTGGGCTGCATGTCAACCGCACAGCAACAGCCGGCAAAAACCGAACCAGTGTTTGCCTGTGCGTCATCGCTAAGAGCGATTTCAAACGACCCGATAGCGCTCCTAAGTGAGCTGATTCCATTGCGAGAGTCCGTGACCAGCGCATCACGTACTCGTTTGGATCGTGACTGCCGAACTGACCCGAAGCCGGCCAATGAACAGCCGCCCACGGAGCTGACAAGCATGAATGACCCTTTTGACGGTCGTCAGCCGCGGATCGGCTTCAAGACTTCGAAATCCACGGCGAAATGTCCCCACATTATCCAAATAGCTCACAGGGCACGTCTGACAATGGCTGCGCGCAAAATGGTATTGTAACTGGTTATAAACATTTGCACATGAGAAGGTAGCAATTACCCGTCATCCGACAAAAAAACTGCGGAGAAAGATCCAATAATTCATCTAGGGACATCATGCACCGTGCAAAACGATAAAAAAATAAAATAAGGAAGAGTAACTTTCACTGGGAAGTGCTGTTTTCCGCCGCAGCTATCAGCGGAAGGCACATTGATTTAACATTCATGAGAACGTAGCCCCGTAAAGCCTCGAGGCGTTCAAACCCGCTTACGTATTCCACTCCGGTGTCAAACAGGCCGCCTCCACGGTACGCCTCAGCCCCGAGTAAGCGGCGCACCCATCAGGCGACCTCGCGCCGCGCCGGCAGCGGCACCCACCGTTCAGCAGGTCGGACAGCGGGTCGGAGCCGAAGAACTCGCGGAACACGTCCTCCGGGTCGCGGAATGTGAAACCGGTGAAGAGGAAGTTGAAGTCGTCGTCGGGGAAGCCGCCGTGATGGTGGTGGTGGTGCTGGTACTGGTGCGCGTGCGCCGGGCTCGGGCCGCCATTCCTCACGCCCTCTTTGCCGTACTTGTCGTACGTCTTCCGCTTCTTGTCTGCGGACGGCGGCAGTGTCAGCGGGCGGGGCGGGGCGGGGCGGGCGCAGCTCCGGTCGCCGCGCCGGCCGATCGGTGCGGGCGCTGCCAGACGGCACGGGGCACAGCCGTGTCGCCACTCTGGGCACGCCTGCCAGAAATTGCGAGACGTTTCCAGAAAGCCGACAGCAGAGTGCTCCGCTATGAACGCCAGCGCGGCCTCAGCGCTCCTGCCGCCGCTGACCTGACCCAGTGATCGCAGCCGGGGCTGCGGCCCCTCTCCGGGAGGCGCTCTCACAACACCGAAACCGGCGCAACATCGCGCCCCATCCCACTTCCAGCGGCCGCGGCAGCAAACTTCATTTCCGGACACAAATGAAGGCGGCCGGCGCCACGTAATCCGAGCTACCCGAGCCATCAATCAGGCGCACCCGGGCGGCGCGCCGCGGACCGCGGCAGCCGAACGGCCGGGCGGCCGGCCGGCGGCGCGGCCCGCGGCCCCGAGCTGGGCACCGGGCGCGCGGCACGGCACGTCCCGGCAGGCCTGGACGTGCCCCGCTGCACCGGCGCCGCTGCCAGCGGAGCGGCGCCGACGGCTGGCATCGCTCACGCGGGTAAGTGACACAAAAATCGGTACGGTCGTCAGGTTTGAACGACACTAAACGCGTCCGTGCCAGTGGCCGTACGTGCCAGTGTGGAATTTTTGGACGATAGTTCCAGCCCCATGAAGACTGCACCTGCAGCGCGACTATCCGCGCATAAACAAAGCCTTGGCATGACGACTTCTTGTTCTACGCATCGATATGCGACGAAACGTAACGAAACGTACCTGACCAAGTTGACAGCCTGGCTACCGGTGGAACGCAAACACGACTGCTATCACTTCGAAGACCAGATTAAATCCAGGCGAATCAAATTACATGTGAACTATCAGCAAGTCTACATCTGCACTGACGCCACAAATCAACACATGCATAATGCCGTAGTTAAGCTATGAAAATGCAATACCCTCGGCTAAATGCAAGGAGCCCCTCTATGACATTGGGGTAAGAGACACATGCGATATCATCAGATTGTTGACAGACGCAGTTAGTATTAGTTACTACGCGCGAAGATCATGTGTAAAAATGTATCAAAGGCCGACATAGCCCGTCCACAACCGCTCGTTTCTAGCCAAAATATTGGTGAGTAGCGAACAGCTGGTACACTGAAAACCCGCACAATTAGTCCTGCAAAAGATACTTAAGTACACACTTCAACTTCGGCGCTGTAAACACTAATTAGTTCCGGGAACGAACTACGCAAATGTACACAGCCGCTATCCGACTCATCTACAAACACTGGTTAGCGGCCTCTCGGCGGCCCAGCGGGTTGGCAGGACCGGGGAGTGGCTGACGGCGTCTGGCCTAGCTGCAGGGTTACTCCCGGTCACCACAGGCCAGGTCACGCAGGGTCAGCGGGGGTCACACAAGCCGCCGGTACCGGAGGAGCGGGAGCCGGGCGTGCCGAAGAAGCCGTATCCGGCGTGGGCGCGCGCTGGCCGCCGGCTGGGCTGCGCCGCGCCCGCACGCACGTGCTGGTCGTACAGCCGCCGCTTGGCCTCTGCCAGGTCAGCGACGGTCAGCCCGGGGCGGCGCGTCGGCCGGCACGGGGCCGGCGCCTGTCAGCTCCGGAGGTGGCAGCGCTCGCTACGTCACGCGCCCAGCTAGCGCCGCCAAGTGACGCTCTACTGACGGCACTGGTATGAAGATCTGCCCCGCATACAGTGCCAATAGGACCGTTCCGGGCAATTTATATCGTTGCCGATGTCCCACGCTTCACTGACGCGACCATACGTTCGCATGAAAAGCTTTTCAGGAACGCTAAATTTGTGCATGGGCGGCGCTTTGCTTTAGTGTCGGTGGCAAAGCAACTAACGAAGCGAAGCCGGGCACGCTATCCCACTCAAGGCAAGTACGACAATCCCCTTGTACAAGGGACTCAAGCCGGCGCTTTTGGCATTACGGAAATGAGGCACTCAGCTATGACGTCACTGTGGCACAGCCAGGAAGCAGTAAATGTAAACAAACGGACTTGGGCAACGAGGCAGCCGCTGATAGCGACGATGAGTGAAAGCTGTGAGCTTATTAACACTGTACCGAACCACACATTCGTTTCGGTGAACAATGGTTGGTAGATTTCGGAATTGGTTTCCGATGCCTTTCGTCTAGCGTTATCTCGATTTCATTCACTGGCTGGCATGCAACGGAGCTCACAGAGTGCACGCTATTGGGGAGCAACATCCGAACACTTCTTTGAAGCCTGGCACATTAATGGTACTGGCTGCCTGACAAGCATCACAGAGGTGTGAATGTGTGTGGTTCCCAAGGGAGTTCACAGCTAGACAGTAACACGGCAGCACGTTAACCACAAATGCCCGATTTCGTGCTAACCCGCGATGACACTGTTCAGGAGTTTCATATCCACGAATTCGACCTCCGTCCTGCAAAGCGCACTGCTCTACCTCGTTTTACAGCCTTGCTCCCGCCAGTCACATCCCAACGGGCCTCGACTGGCAGTGACTGAACACCCCCCGCAATCAGTCCTCTCGCTCATTCCAGAATAAGCGTGGTGTTACGCTGCCGCCATGACAGAAAACATGGAACACAACAGGGTGAAGTAGAAAACAAGGGGAGAGCTACGGCTGTGGTGATCCCAGCCTTAACGACTATAATCCATCCTACACCCTATCATAATCTGGTGCCAGAATGCCTAATGGCTTCATTGTGACTGGACATGGGCACGGTTGCAGTACATATTCCACCGCTCGCATAAAATCCAGTCCATCTTGAAAACATGGGGCACTGTACACTGGTACTGGCCCTTTAGGTTGGTCCAGTTCGAGCCCCCTCCGTCCGTAGACCACTTCCGAGTTGCTGGATGCAGGAAGCAGGAAATAAAAGGGGTGACCAACCCTGTTCTTAACTGGACACACGGAAGGCAGCAGGGGAGGGGGCAGGGGGGACGATCAGCCAGCCAGCCGGGCCGACATCCAAATTGCCCTTTCAGCCGACGACCGCAACAAAATACCAGTGTGGTGGCACGACCAGGGATGCGAGACTTGAGCAACCATGATAAGCTATAGTGCACCCCCCACTGCACTCATCCACCGGCCTGATCACGCTCAGGGTATGACCGTCCCATATTTATAGACTTCTGAAAGGACTGAGCCCTGTATAGAGTATACTATGTAACGCACTCCGCAAAATACTAACCATCTGATAAAACCTCGTAGGCCTCTGAGATGTCACGGAACCGCTTCGTCGCCTCCTCCTTGTTATTCAGGTTTTTGTCCGGATGCCAGCGCAGCGCCAGCTTGCGGTACCTGCGGGAAACACAAGTTCTCGGTTGGCGGCGCGGCCGCCAGTCGGCACTAGCATCGCCAACGCGTTCACCATGCAGGATGTTTCCCACATAAGTACATCGCACGCACGCTAGCCCAAAGTGGAACACGATGATGAACATGTGCCATGAAAATAGGTCATGCGACATTGGACTGGGTGTCCCACGAAGTTCCAATTACTGTCCCCGATCCTAGACCGAGTTGGCACAGTAAAAAACGTTATCACGCGCACCACGACCCAACTAGCCAAGCAGGCAACACTGTCGTCGCGCTCAACCAATCACAGCTATTTGCGACCAGACACGTGTTCCGATTCGCACTAATCCGATAGCTGCCACCTTATCTACGTCCTGTTCATCAAGCCTGTGACTGCCGCCGGCGGCGAGGAGCACACCCGACGACATGGGACAAGGCGGTGAGGAGCACACCCGACGACATGGGACAAGGCGGTGAGGAGCACACGCGACGAGACGGGAGGGTAAAGGAGGCTGATCGGTCTAGGTCCCGGGCTGGCGTGGGCACTCATCGTGCCAGAAGAGCGACGATTCCGTCCGGGCCGGGGGGGGGGCGGGGAGGCAGCCGCGGCGATGTCACTTGGCTCGGCGGTCGGGCGTGGCCTGCCAGACGTCACAGCAGGCGCCCGGGACCGGACCGCGACAGGACTGGGACCGGGACCACGACAGAACCGGGACCGGGACTACGACAGGATAGCGACCGCGACAGAGCCGGGACCACAACAGGACCGGGACCGGGACCAACGCAGGGCCGGAACCGTGACCTCGATAGGACTGGGACCGGGACTATGACCGGACCGTGACCGGGACCAGGACCAGGACCGGGACCGGGACCGGGACCGGGACCGGGACCGTCAGCGGAGCGCCGGACTGGGACTGATACCGGAACCCTGCCAGCCAAGCCTGGGATCGCGACCCCCACTTCAGCTCGGGACTCGAACGAACAGCCCCTCGGCACGGCCGCCACGGGCCGCACGCTGGCAGCCCCTCGGCGCGGCCGCCGGCGGGCTCTGAGGCGCGCCGCCCCGCCAGTTGTCTACCGGTCCGCCGGGCCGTCGGCGGACGGCAGCGGAGTCAGTCACGCGAACACCGGCCATGCCATTTTTTGGATTCCGCATTCATGTAGCGGGTGATACGGCCAGCTTCGGTTTGTTTGTTGGCGTCGGATGTGCGCTCAAGGTGAAGGTTGCCCTGCCAGCGCGGGCCGGAGGCGAGCTGTTGGCACGGCCCGCGGTCCAGATAGCCGGCGGCGGCCGCGGCCGCTCCTGGTCGGCCCCCGAGACAGCCCCGGCCCGGCCTGCCAGGCTGCAGGGTTTGGTCGGGGAAGAGCACGCCGCGAAGCCGTCGCTTTTCACTATCGTATGACAGGCGACGGCTTCCGAACGTCATGTAGACGAGGTCAGGAATTGACATCACGCGACAGCCTGCAGACGGGCAGCGCCAGCAAGCCTGGATCCCCCCCCCCCCTCTAAAGGCAAAGCCCCCTCCCCCAGGAATGAACAGCATCACGTGAGAGCCTGCAGACGGGCAGCACCAGCAAGACTGGATCCCCCCCCCCCCCCCTCCAAAGGCAAAGCCCCCTCCTCCCCAGGAATGAACAGCATCACGTGAGAACCTGCAGACGGGCAGCACCAGCAAGGTTGAAGCCCCCCCCGCGCCCAGGTTGCACCTCCCACCCGCGGCGGCGCACTTACGACTTCTTGATCTGGTCGGTGGACGCATTTCGCGGCACATCAAGCACCCGGTAGTAGTCGACCATGGTGCGACCTCAGGTCAGGTCAGGACCGGACCTGAAACAACACAGCTGCTGTCAGCTGCTGCGGATGCGAGCCATCTCGATCAGAACAACGGCAGCCTGATATCCACCGGGCAGCGCTGCGATTTCGTGAGGCACTGAGTCAGAAATAGAGAGGCGCGGTGGCGCAGTTCCAGTGTGCTTTGAACTGCCGCGCCGAACATAAAGCACATCTCCACACGGAGTTAATCAAAGAACGGGATGTTTAAAAAGTGACGAGAAGTGTAGACCAGGGATATATAGTCGTGTTGTCGATGCCAATGCCAAACAATGACAAAATCCAGGCATTGCGGTTCGTGTGCATGATTTACTTTGCATTGATCGATGGGACCATCCATGTTCACATGCAGACACTAACCCCTTTGTGGTACAGCTCAAGGCACCTGCAAGCATCACAGCCCCCTTCATATGCTACAGCTCAAAGTACCCCAGACACCACATCTCCCTCTGTCTGCTGGAGCTCACGGTACCGATCCAGAAATGTAAACTGTTAGCATAAGGTTGCAGTCGGCAGCGCCTTCGATAGAGCCCAATGTTTGTGAAGCTCGTGTTCGCATTGCACACCACCTGGGATCAGCTGTGTTCAGAAGGTTACCTCTGCGTAATGGTTTGGCCAATTACAGGCAGTAGCAGATAAAACTGTAACAAAGTTTTTTCTGTGTGATGTGAGGATGGGCCAATCAACAGGCGGTAGACACCAAAGTAGCTTTTAACCAACGATAGTGTGTTAAGAACGCCATCAAGGGCAAAAAGAGCAACAACAGCATCAAAAGTGGGCCGCGGCATTATATTACACAAATGGACATGACAAAGTCCCACTTAGTTTCAACTGCATAAAAGCCACACAAATGTCGCTTTGCCCTCCCCCCCCCCCCCCCCCCACCCTAACCAGAGCCCGACTCTGCGAGTCGGCAGGACCAGCGGCAGCAATGGCGCAGGTAGATCGTAAGAATGTCAAGAAATTAGTGCCACGGCAAACACTCATATGACAGCGAGCGCGACACAAGCTAGATACGACTATCTTCCATTACAAAAACTTACACAGGCTTAACCTACCCGCGGTATCACTGCCACTGCAAAAACTCACATAGTCGCAACTTATACGCGACACTACTTCTGCAGCAAAAATAATCCCCGACAAGTACTCCACGACAAAACTATCACTGCAAAAAATTATAACAGGCCATTAGTTGAACAGGACAGACCTGACTACAAGCCTTTGCTGTAGCGCCGATATCGCGTATGAGTCTTCGTAGCAAAAGTAATGCCCTGTGTAGGCAATGACTGCATAGCTTTTGCAGTAGATGTGATGATAGGTGCAAGTTCTTGGGGTATATGTTATATTGTGCGGCATTAATACCACACTGCCGTGTAACATTAATGTCAGTTTTGCTGCGTTGCATTAATGTCACGTTTTGCCGTGCAGCATTAATGTCACGTTTCGTCGCGTAGTATTAATGTCACGTTTTGCCGTGTAGCATTAATGTCACGTTTTGCCGTTTAACATTAATGCCACGTTTTGCCGTGTAACATTAATGTCACGTTTTGCCGTGTAGCATCAATGTCACGTTTTGCCGTGCAGCATTAATGTCACGTTTTGCCGTGTAGCATTAATGTCACGTTTCGTCGCGTAGCATTCATATCACGTAGTCTTTGCAGCAGAAGTCAAGTCGCGTATAACTAACGGCTGCATGTGTTAACAGTAGAAGTAATGACGAGCATAATTTTTGAAGCATAAGTTGTGTCATGTGGCACTAATATGGCACACAAGTTTTTGCAGCAGAAATAGTGTCGTGTTTAAGTAATAACTTTAAGCGTTTGCAGCAGAAGTGACTGGCGAATTTATATTTTCGCAGCATAAATTTCGTCGCGTAGCACTAATGCCGTGCACAAGTATTGTCAGTAAACGTAATGTTGCAGCCCTCCTGTCGGTTGAGTTTCCGTTGTAGCACTTATGTCGTGGAACAGACCACAAGGGACCACCAGTCAACGCCCGCCTACATAAGACAGACGGGCAGCGTCAGGAGATGGCGCAACGGTGACGTCACCGACCACGGAAGGACGTCCGGAGACGCAGCCCAGCGGCCGGACTCAGCTGTAACAAGAGACTGTGGGCGAACCGCCCTCAGACCAGGGCACCTGAACCCACCTGCTGACCTCCGCCCGGCCTCTTGTCACCATTCACACCAGCCAGGGGCCGGTAGGCGACACCCCTGCTGACCTCCGCCCGGCCTCCGCCACCACTCACACTCGCCGGGGGCCGGCAGGCGACACCATCCACCGACCACTACTCCCAATCCGACGTCAGACAAGGTCATGGTCTGCGCATGCCCAGTCCTGACGTCACGGCCAATCCGCCATCGCCGCCCGGCGCGCTCCAGAAACTTCCGGTTGCTTTCAACGGTGTACGTCTGCCTGGCTGGCAGGGCATCGAGCCATCCGCGCGGGTCCGCACCGAGTTATCGCGTCGCCCGGGCGGCGGCGGCGGCGTGGGGACGGGAGGGGGGGGGGGGGGGGTCGATACCAAACACCGTGCGGGGCGTGTGCGCTGACTCGGCACGCACCACCGCCATGAGCGCGCCGAAACGCAGACGGGCCGCCCAATCCGGCCACCACCCGGCGCACCAGCAGCTTTCCTTGTTGAGCGCGCCGACACTGCCCAGTTACTGATCGAGGAAATGACGCCAACGCGTGGCCCACACGGTAACGTGCATGCAAGTGCCATGCTTTCTGCTCGAGAATTACATAGACCCAAGTACCATAAGGGGAAAGCCCGGACCACACAACCTGCAACAAACACGCAGCCAGAATTTTCCTCCGGGCAATTGTCTCACGTCTCATGTCCCCCGGGCATTTCCTTCGGGCATGCCCTCCGGGCAATTGCCACCGTCCTCAAACGTATTTGCGCAGAACCCTCCAAAACTGACCGCTAACTGGTGTAAACCTCTCGGCTCAGGGAGGGTGGTGGGTGGCGGGTGGGGCGTGTACCCCGTACGCCACCTCCTTGATCCACACAGCACGGCCATCCAGACGCGGTACAGAATGCCATACAATATCGATTGCGCATGCTAGCGATAGCTCACTGCGATAAGCACGACACCCGAATCCCACTTCAACCCTTGCAGACCAGCCCATTCGGAATAAAGTGATACCGACTCCGACCCGACGCTGGCAGGCCGACCTTTGCAGAGAGCAGCGGCTCCGATGCCGTTAGCCCCGTATGGCAGGCGGCAACCCCCGTCCGGCGCGGGCTGCGCAGTGCTGCAGGGGTTGCTGGCTCGCGGGCCGGCCGCAGCAGCTGCACCGAACCGCTCGGGGCCCGCAGCACAGGGGCAGCCGGCTCCGCTGCCCGCGCGCGTCGCTCCACTTCTCTAGTCGGAGAGCGTGCCGACTGACATACGAACCCGCTTGCATCACCAAACTTGTACCTTTTAACAGAGAACGCGACGCACGTCGCCGCACCCTTTTTATGGAGCGCCAGCGACTGCATTGGTCGTATCAGCGCTACGGGGCCATGGCGCAATACGGGAACCGAGCCCAGGCTCCCCACGTGGGAGTCCGACGCACTAACCACTCGGCCGTTACACCCATTCGTCAAACCCGTAATAGACGAATAAGAAATTACATTAGCATCATGTCGCGTCGCTAACCAACAGCCGGTGGCGCAGAAATCGATGGGCAGGAGAGGCTGAGCACCAAACTTTGAAAATTTGTTGTTGGGCCCCGTGAGCGCCAAATAAAACAGAAGTGGCTACGACCACCCTTACCCCAATTCGGAAGCAGCTACTCTCAACCTGGAGCACCAGCACCTCCCAACTTGGAGCAGCAGCTGCTCAAATCCCCCCGCCCCCTCACAGTGACCACAATTATCACGATACCTCGTCACAATGGCAGCGCAGCGGATTTGCCGTTTGCCCGTCGACTGACTCACAGGTCACGAAACCTGCTTAGAAAATCCCAGGCAATGGTCCTTAGGTCGTAAAACCTGCTTAAGCACTGCCCTCCATTGCCGCGGCTGCGACCAGAGCGGCGATGACGCAGCGGTTCGTGTCTGTGCTTGATTCGGCTAGGCCAGTCACACGTTCCAAACACAGAGCCGGTGAATAATTCAGCGAGATGGGGAAGGGGAGCTGGTGCCCAACTACATCGATTGTATAGCTAACCGAGCGGCTCGCGGGAAAGGAAACAGGGCGCTATGGACCACTTAGGCCTGACGTCAAGTCGCTGCACACCCCGGACGTGTGCGAGCACAGCGCGCTCGACCAAGGCGTGTGCATGGGGAGGGGGGGGGGGGGGGGGAGAGGTGACGGGGATGGCAGGAGGCCTTTGTCCGGCCGCCGGCGCGCCAGCCCGCGCCGCGGCCGGTCTCACTGCCCGTCCGTCTGAGCAATGCCGCCGGAGCCCGACGGCGCCCGCTCGGCAGGCCGGCTGCGCAGTCGAGCAGCTGTGATGCAGCGCCGTCAGTGCCGGGCGCCGTCGCGTCCGCCATCCATCACCCAGTCTGCTGTGTCTGTGCCGGGGCTGCCGGCTGCAGCCGAGCGAGCCCCGGCCTGATCCGCCGCTGACGGCCCGCTGGCCGGCGACGGCACAAGCGGCTGACCTCCGAGGGCGTTTGAAACGGCACGTCGCTGCGCGCACTGGCCCCGCAATGGTGCACGAGATGACACAAGGCAGCGGACGGACATCACCACGAACGCACGCTGCATTGGCAGCAGGGCGACCTCAAAACATCACTGGCATTGCACAATGCTCTCTTGATTTGAATACCCGGCTTATCAGGCCAACGGACGGTCGACGCCCGGCTCCGGCGCCGGACGTCGTTATCACTGCTCGTCCAGTCGTGATCACGGCTCGTCCAGTCGCGATCTAGGTTCGTCCAGTCGTGATCACGGCTCGTCCAGTCATGATCACGGCTCGTCCAGTCGTGATCGCAGCTCGTCCAGTTGTCATCACGGCTCGTCCAGTCGCGATCACGGCTCGTCCAGTCGTGATCACGGCTCGTCCAGTCGCGATCACGGCTCGTCCAGTCGCGATCTAGGCTCGTCCAGTCGTGATCACGGCTCGTCCAGTCGCGATCACGGCTCGTCCAGTTGTGACCACGGCTCGTCCAGTCGTGATTACGGCTCGTCCAGTCGCGATCTAGGCTCGTCCAGTCGTGATCACGGCTCGTCCAGTCTTGATCACGGCTCGTCCAGCCGCGACGGCGGCCGTTTGCCGGTCAGTGCCACGACAGCGGCCGTGGCGAGCCGATCCCAACGGCCCAGTGCGTCACCACCACCAGGTCGGCCAGCCCGGACCGACGGGGAGTCACGAGGGGCCGCCCCTCGGTGGGGGAGGCCGACCCGGTGCCAAGCAGCAGCACGGCGGAGGGGCGGCGGCGCGGGTGGCACTCCCCCGCCGCCTCCGACCTCCAGGCCAGCCGGCGATCACACGCGTGCTGTCCGCCAGTCCGCTCGCCCGGTTCTGCACCCAGCTGGTGAGAGCGCGCCGGTACCGGCGCCTTGAGCCCGCACGAGGCAAACGGAGCCCCGTCCAGGATCCGGCGCCGGCCGGATACGCGGCGCCAAGCAGCCGACGGCGCCACACGGGCGCCACGCTCCGAGGCGTGATCACAGGGCCACCGGGAGGGGGCGCCTCCGTGACAGCCACCAGCGGACGGGACGGTCCAGCCACGGGCGGTCCGTCCGCAGTCGGACGTGACACAAAGCCACCGCGGGGATGCCTGACCGTGCCCCAAATATTGGGTGTCCACCGAACGCGTACTGAAGAAGACCGGAGGCCACCAGCAGCCGTATTTCCCGCAAGGAGCCTCGCGTGCACATACGTCGGCGCCCTACACTCGCCCCAGCCCGAATCCATCACCATCTGCGGCCGGCCACCGCTCATCAGCGGTGCCATTACAGCTGACCCGGCGGCCGCCCATCCCGGCTGACGGCCCCGCACGTGGGGCGCCCCGTCACCCGGCCGACCCCGGCCAGATGAGCCGCTCCAGCTGGGCGGCGCCGACGGCCGCGCCGCGTCTTCGGCGCTCCACTGACACGGGCCGTACCGAGGCCGGGCCCAGTTCCGACTCTGAACATTCAGCACGCAGGCACACGCTGGTCTGGCGTGTGAAAATCCATTTCAGTGATTTCTCTTAGTGCTGGACGCATGGGAAGGCGACAGTTATGTTGGTGAAATTGACTATTGCCGAGAATTCTAATGGGACTGGTTATACGTCAATTCCGCTGAAAAGTTGACTGTTGTCATTACTTCCGGCACCTGTCAACATCGGCTTGCGTGGTGACGCGCCGGTATTCTAACGCAACGTTGTGCAATATCAAAGGATCATCCCAGAGCTTGCTCCGCATACACTCAAACTCACTGAGGGCCATTCCGCACGCCCAACGATGCAGCCGACAGATAGCAATAGCTGGGCTGCGAATATATATATATATATATATATATATATATATATATATACATATATTTTGATCTACAACGACAACAATTCAAAAGCTTTACGGGAAATTATCTCTCAACATGTTACATGCAAAACTACCACAAAATAGACATTTTCATTTACTATCATAATAAGAATCGTCCCTTGATATTATATATATATATATATATATATATATATATATATATATATATATACATATGTTGTTTCGATGTGCTGCAAAAGTAAAAATCACATACTGGACCGCTAAAAATATCGACAAAAACGCATGAATGTGATGCAAACTGGAAAGCAAACGTGATTGTAATGACACTGATGGAAATATCAGGCAGGGTTATTAATAACATGTTGTACCAATGTTGGCTCTCTGAACGCCAGTGGAACAAAGGGCACAACTGCAAACAAGACAGTCAGCGCCTTGCATTCATCAATTCAGCGGTCGGAAATTGTGCCGTTCCCGTGGTCACGTTCGCCCTCTGCTCACGCTCCGTCCAAAGATAATCCCCATACATCTCTCCAAGGTCGCCCGATCCCTACCGATCGGCGCGGGCCTCCATCGCGCCCTCGCGTCCCGGTCTCCGTCGCACCGTCGCGTCCCGTTCTCCGTCGCACCGTCGCGTCCCGGCCCACACTGTGAACGTGACAACGCCAGCGTGGACCGTTCCGCCATAATGCCTTTTCTCTATTTCGGGCCCGCTGCGTTTAGGTTTCGTTCACGCTCCACTCTCCTCGCTCTCGGTGCGAGCCGACCCTAAGCGGGTCGCTTGTAATCATTTGTTTGTGGTCGCAGACCAGCAGTGATATATTATCCACACTGGATGACGAACACATCTCATGCCCGTACTGGCGCAGCGGCTCACATTCCAGCCGCAACATCTGACTACGAAACAGTGACACGGTTTTTCGCGACAGAAAACACAAGCCAGATGGCAAGACTGACAGCGCTAGTCGCCTCCTGCGCTACACCGTTCACAGGCTGATGCAGCCTGGCAATTTCCAGCCAAACACCTGGCTGCAGCACAATGATTCCGTCACAAAGAGCTACGCTTTTTGCGGACGGAGTACACAGCAGCCAGCCGGTATGATTGATGGCAGAGTGCGTCTCTGGCGGCTCCACAATGGCCTGTCTATCGCACTGTAAGTGTCCGCACGCATACAGTCCCACCGACAACGCGTTGGGTCTTATCTGCGCCGCGAGATGCCGGTCCCACAGCCGGTCGCGGCCCTCACGCCCCGAGAGCGCGGCCGACCCCTCACGTGGCGGGACACCGGGGTCACAGGGTCACGCCGGTCGACCCGGCTGCAGGTGCCGGCCGGCAGAGGTCTTGACCGGCCGCGGCCCCGTCCCGCCCGGCACCGGTCGGAGCACAGCCAGCCGCCGGTCGGTCGTCGCTGTTACTGCTGGGCGGAGCTGGTGGCTGCCCGCCGGCCCGGCCGTCCGTCGCCAGCGACCGGGCGCCGCCGGTTCTCAGCACGGACGCCCGATCAGCGGAGCTCCAGACCGCGGACGCCACGCATCGATCCGCGAGCTCCGCCGCCGCCAGCCGGAGACAGGGAGAGAGCCAGCCCCATTCGGTCGGCCACCGTTTCCGGCCGCCGAGTCTCACGCCGCCTCCGTGACGGGAGCGGAACGCTTTCACAGCGGGACGGCCGAGACGAGGCAGTGGGGGCGCTCCTCGGCACACCGACAGCTCGCGCAGCAGCGCGGTCGGGGCGACCCCCACTGACCGTCACGGCCAGGAGCCACGCGGACAAGTGACGTCACGAGCGGCGGGCCACGGGCCGGTCCGCCGGCCGTGGTCACAGCCGGGACGGGTCCCGCTCGCGGACAGGGCGGCTTCTGTCGGCCGCCGCGAGCCAAGGCCACCTCTGATCAACAGGCCGCCGGACGCCTTCGCCTCGGGGCCAAACACATTGGGCCATTCAGCGGTAGCCCGTCCCTCAGACACAACAAACAGGCCCGACTATCGGGGTAGAGCGCCGCCTCCGACCGGCGTCAAGGGCAGCCGCACGCCGCCGTGTCCGATTAGCGAGTCGGCCGGCATGACCCCCGCTAAGTCCGCCAAATAAGTCGTGGTCCGGGAAACGGCGGATAACCTTCGCCGGCCGTAAACAGCGCCCAGCTGACTGGAAGGCGCCGGTCGTGCACCGACTCCGCGCGAGGCGGACGCCCGTGCAGCAGCCGTGCAACCGCATGGAGACAAGGCCGGTACTGCCCGGCACTGCGCCCAGGCTCAGTCATGAGCTCCGCCAGCGGTGGCCTGGCGGGAGCACCGCAACAGTGGGGACCGCGGGCTCTGCCAGCGGTGGTCTGACGGGAGCAACGCGACCGCGGGGACGAGGAGTTTCGGCGCGGGAACGTAAACCACTGAGTTCTGTTGCAGAATTTACGTGACACATATACATTCTGGTGCATGAAAGGGATGCTCGAACCGCATATGCTGAATGGTTTCTCCCCGATTGATTTGGCTTCTCCAGCCTTGACATAGTCACGCATGCATGCAAAGAAATCGGAAAAGTAATAAAGGAGCACACCCCGGTGTCGCTGCCCGAGCCCCTCCGCTCCAGCATCGCCTCACCTGGTCCTGTGCTCCTGCCGCACCCTGAGCTCGTCACCGCCACCTGAGTCCAGATCCCGTCTATGCACACCTGCTCCCACCGCTGCCTCTCAGCTCGTTCCCGGGCGCGCGTCGCTGAGCAGCCTCATTCCGCCAGAGCGGACGCGCGAACGTGCGGACGGCAGCGCGCGGAACCTTCTCCACCAGCGCCCGGAGCGCGACTGAGGGCGGCGCGGTGGTCGGCTGGCCGGACGGCGCAGGCCCGCCGCCCCGCCGCGGCCCCGCGGACGACGGCCGGCGCCGCGCTGGCGGCGGCTGGGGTCGGGCCGTGCGCTTGGTCGAAAGTGCAAGTGCAACCAGTTTACCTCAATGACACCATTGTACTGGGTTTGGCCATTGAGAGTCGGGACAGTGAAACGCTGGATGCGGTGACAGGTCGTTCTTTCTTCCTGTCATTAATCTGCGGGCTGACCGGCTTCCTTTGGAGATTCGGTTAGTTTGTCTTTATAATGCCTTTTTTCTAACTGTGGTTCCAAGATGGGAGGTGGGACTGGGCCTCAGCATCTCTCACTACCACAAAGGGAGATTCTTCATCGGCAACAAAACGGACCTGGAAATGACCGCTGGTGGCTGCAATGCCGTGCCTACCGATAATGCCGGCCACATTAGCACACAACTGGCACAACTGACACAACTGACACAGCGCGTGGCTCAGGAGCGGGACCAGGCCGTGTCGCGGGACGCTGACGTATCTGTGGCCGTCAACAGCGCACGCGGGGTCGTTTGTTTGAGAAGCGCCGCTCTTTTAAACAGCTGCATCTTCGTCTCCCATGTCGTCAGCGTTCCGCCTGTTTCCGTGCGGTTTATTTTGTTAGGGCTTTCAGACGTTGGTCTCATCAGTTCAGGATTACGGTTCACGGCCATATCGCCCCCGGCCTTGAGCGCCCGCGCTGTGTAACGGTTAAAGGCGATGTGTTTGTTCTGATCCACAAAGGAAGCGGCCAGTGGAAAGACAATCAACATGCTTCCGGATGAATGACTTCCTCGGCTGACGACTTAACTTGAAGCATTGAATTGTGTTCGCTGCGCTATGCGAGTATGTACCAATTTTCAACGCACGCCAGAAGCCGCTGTTTTCGGGAATCGACCTGTCAAAACAATCAAGTAAGAGCGGCCATCGAAGAACTTAATCCTGTATCCATATGCACATGAGTTGTTGTCAACATGTGTGAGACACGCTACAGCGCAAAGATCTGTCCAAACGTATGAGAGATGGTGATTGAACTACTTATTTATAAGGCACGCGGACAATGCAAAGGTGGTAGTGAGGCGGGATCCCACCCGTTCTTTCGCCCAGCGTTTACCACACGGTGGTACAGGATATGTAGCCCACCTGAGGTTATATGACGATAGGCTTCCGCCGAGGTACGCGACGTGTGGCAAAGCTCGAGCATACCAACTCCCACCTCTCTCATTTCTGGACGTGGTCCTTGTTAGAACAGAGACACCAAGCAACTGTGCTCTGACGTAGGGGGTATGCCGAACATTTATCATCCTGCCCGTCCACCTGAAATGACTAGGAAATTTGCTGAAAAAATATGTCCGCTCGCACGGCAGCGCAGCGGGTAGACGCCCGACGCCAGACAACCACCGACCGCCGAGCACCGGACGGCGGACCAGGGCACCGTCTGGCCGGCCGATTCGCTCAGCTGAGCGGGCGGCCTGCCCGCCGCCGGCTGGCACCGCGGCCCAGGGGGCAGGCTGTCGCCAGCGCCCCTGACATTCGCCGGCGCCGGCCGCGACGGGGCGCCGCGCTGACGTCGCGCCCCGCTGCCAGCTCTGATATAGCCGGCCGGCTGACCGTGACAGCGGCCGCCGACCCGGCCGACCCGGCCGCCGCCGCCGCCGCCGCCTGACCCGCCTGACCTGACCCGCCTGGCGCCGGCCGCTGACACACGCACGCGAACCGCCTCGCCCGGCCCCCACCGGCCCGCTGGCAGTGTAGCCTACAGCGCCGGCAGCGTAGCCTCATTCCTGCTGCCACGCGTGACGCGTGTTCCCCATCGGCGCGGCCGGCAGCGGCGGCGGGTACGGGGCGTGGAGCCCACCCTCCCAGGGCGTGTCGCCAGCGCGCAGACGTGTGACGTTGGCGCGGCGGCAGGCCCGGGCGGGGTCGACGCCCCCGACGCCGACACCGCCTGCTGCACCGTCGCTGCGGGCCCGCGCCGGGAGAAGAGGCTCCCCGTCTGCAGCGGCGCGGCCCTGCATCAGGGCCCACATTGTCCGTCGGAGTTATCGAGCCGTCGGAGTTAACGAGCGGGCCGCGGCCGAAGTCGGCAATCCCCAACCTTGGTCCATGGCCAACATGCCTGTCCCGCTGAGCAAGCGGCCTCTCGCCGGCGACAGCCACCCAAAACATGTCATCCAGCATGAGATGAGGCCACTTCGCGCACATGCATGCCGTAAACACGGCCGCTAGCGACCGACAGACCGACCAACGAACCAACAGACCGACTGGCCGTCCGTCCCTCCCGCCCCGCACGCACGCACGCAAACACGGCTCGCTCCACCCACCTGCCGAGCGGAAAGCCAGCACCCACCCGCCCGGACCCCGGTCCCGGCCCGGTGCGGAAACGGCTCGCAGCTGCAGCGTCGCTCCACAAACGGGCAACCCCCCGACGGACGGCGGGGACGACACCGTTGTACACGGACGGCCCCCGACGGACGGCGGGGACGACGCCGTTCTACACGGACGGCCCTGACGGACGGCGGGGACGACGCCGTTCTACACGGACGGCCCCCGACGGACGGCCCCTGACGGACGGCGGGGACGACACCGTTGTACACGGACGGCCCCCGACGGACGGCGGGGACGACGCCGTTCTACGCGGACGGCCCCTGACGGACGGCCCCTGACGGGCGGCTCCTGACGGACGGCGGGGACGACGCCGTTCTACACGGACGGCCCCTGACGGACGGCCCTTGACGGACAGCCCCTGACGAACAGCCCCTGACACACGGCGCCGCGGTACTGCCGGACGGCCCCTGACGGACAGCCCCTGACGAACAGCCCCTGACACACGGCGCCGCGGTACTGACGGACGGCCCCTGACGGACAGCCCCTGACGGACGGACGGCAGGGACGGCATTGACGGACGGCACTGACGGACTGCGGGCATGGCGTCGCTTCACTAACAGACGGCAGAGCGGGCGCCGCCCACCGCACGGCCGCTGAGTGATCACGTGACCGGCGCCGCCCGCTCAGGCCGGCAGCGGCGCCCGTCGCGTGATGGACAGACGCGCCTCCGCCCGCCGGTGTCGACAGTGGGGCGGTGTCCGCCGGTGCTGTCGTGCCGGCGGCGGCCCGCACCCAGGCGACTCAGCCCCGGCGCTGATGGCGCCAGATAACTGCGCAGAACGAAACGATTCGCCCGGCGTCAGCCTGACGCTCCTTCCATGGGACCGCATGCTGACCATCCAGATAGCGCGAGGCTGACGGAAGACATTGGCTCGGCGTCAGGGAGATCATTCCGCTGCAGACCTAGGGTGAACTGTCCTTGATAGCTGCGCTGCCTGGGCCCGCCGGCTCGCCAAACCCCGCCGGGGCCTGCGCAGACTTCGAGTGGAAATTAAGCGTGGAGAAGTGCACAGTGCGTGCGGGGATCGAAACAGAGCTGGGCGCACCTGTCAGGTGCGTTCTTCTTCACAACATCTGCTACCTGGTCTTCTCGTGACGTCGGAACAGCTACTAACACCATTCCGACGGTCGGTCTGGTTGGAACGTGACCAGCTTGCCCTGGTTTACGCGGACGTGACGAAGCCATTAGTCGTAGCGTCTGAATACGATGCCACGATGCCGGCACCGGCATCGTCCACACGCAGATGCCGCGACCGTCTGCTGTCGCAGCGTCACATGCCTCTGCAGCCCTCGGCTTCAGAGCCTCACCGGTGGAATTTGAGAAAGTATGGAGTAAGCTCGGAGGCGAAGTCTGCACCGTACACCCGCCGTAACTCATCCCGCTCCTGGCTCCTTTAGCACGGTCACAACCAAGCACGACACACCATCGCGACAAGAACACCCTGCGAGTGAACGGCAGCCGTTCTGACTACAACGGGCACGGAACAGCCAACGGTCTCTGCGATCTCCGTATACGGTGCAGCAAACTTGTTTCCAGTATATCACCGCCCACGCACCAGCTGCCACCGGTACCTGTTCCCGGCCGGCACCACTCGCCGCGTCTCATGCGAACCCCCCCCCCCCCCCCTCCGTCCAACCTCAGCCGCCAGCAAGAGCACCGCTTGATCGATACACGTCGCCCCCGGCTGTCAGCCAAAGGCTGCGGGCACTCTGCGCTCCTGCAGGGGGGGGGGGGGGGGAGGCCCCGGTCGTGACGGAGCGGCCGGCTCCGTGGCGCCACCAGCTGCGGTCAAGCGTCCCAAACAGTCAGCCGGCCCAGGAAGTCCGAGCCGCAGGTAGCCGCCGCTCCCCCTCTCACCACAGACGGTGGGAGAGGACGTCCTACAACCGTGAAATGGCTTCGTGACAACAACGCGGCCGGGGTTAGCGAACGTTAGCGAGAGAGCCGGTGTTCCACACCACCGTCCACGTCGGGTTGTGGAATGGCCGCTGACGGCGATTCACGTGCTTCAGACACGAAACTCTTTTCTCATGGAGCATGCAGAATGGAGCGCAGTACACAGCACTAGTGGCAAACGGCCAATTTGAGATCGTTGAACTGCCTCATGGCCATTCAGCGACCCACTGCGTTTGGAGAGCAGCCATCAGTCGGGATTCCACTCTCGCGCCCGCTGGGAAAGGTACGACGAAACCAAGTGCGCACATCGCGCGCCACCACCTGCCTCTCGTGCCACGCAGGGCCGACCTATGAGTTGCCGCTGCTGTTTAGCAGCTGTACTCCGCTTCACACGCACAGCACAACAGCTGCCAGCCCCGGCGCCGGAGCGCTGCTCGGCGGGACCCCGCCGCCCTACCTGAGAGGGGACCTCCGGCGCCGGGCGCGCTCGCTCCCGACGTCTGGACGCAGCGGCGCTCACAGCCGGCGGCGCCGCGTCGTCCCGCCGACGCTGGCGCGGCCCGGCCCAGCCGAATGGCACCGTCCGACTCGCCGTCGGTGGCGACGGCGGGTCCGTCGGCAGCGTCGCCGCGCCGGGCCGGCGGGGAAGGGGAGGGGGCGGCGGTCGGCCGGC